TTTTTTATTTACGTATGATATTATTTTACTGAAGAATGTGTAATTAAAAAGAAGAGAGAAAAAAATATTTTGATAAAAATAAGAATCAAACGGGCGTTAGTTTCTAAATAATGGATGACAAACGAGTGCCTAATGGATAGGTCACGTTGCAAGTTGCCGTAAATAAGCAAATATGAATCACAATCATTCACTTACACCACCCGAAAAGTAAGTAAAGACAATCTGATTAGGCAGCAAAAATCGAAACAAATCAAAAATATCTTGTCTTTTATGCCATTTCAAGTCGACAAGTCTTATTAAGAAATGTATTCACTTAGTCCTCGTTAGATTTTTAGCAGACTTTGATAAAAATTTATTAAATGCCGTTTAGTGGCGATTTTGAGAATTGATTATTTGATATTTAGAGAGAAAAGTAGGGATCATATATGAGTGAAGAAGTAAAAAATGACTGTTGAAATAATGAAATAACAGTCAAAAAATCAATTTTTTGAGGTGAAAATTACTACCAAACGGAGCGTAAATATGTGATTGAAAAAATGATAAAAATTGTAAAGCCCATAATAAATTGTTGAAGCTGAATTTAAAAAAATAATAATAATAATTTTAAGAAATAAGGGACAAAAGGAGCTTGGTTCATAAAGTGAAAAAGGCTAAAGTGTCAAATTTGTTTTATTATGTACCCTAATTATTAATCTATTTGCATAAAGGGTTAAAAGGTTTTTTACGATTTTTCCTTTGATCCATGGACTTCAATGAACTCAAACCAAGAAAATGTTATCCATTTCAGTTATGATATTTTTAGAAAATCTTCAATTTGGTCCTCTACTTTTGCTCTAAATATATAAGTAGCTATCCGTTCTTAAATTGTTTGTTTTAGTACGCTAAATAACGCTTTCTATTGCTAGGAAGGGTCCTTAACAATATTTATAGAGTCGGGCTTTCATCTTTTCTTGTCGTCTTTATCCTGAAATTTGTAGAGTAATAAAATTAAGCACGTAGTTTCAATGGATTCGATAAAGTGAGTCCATTAAGTCTCAATTTTGTATTCAATTCCAAATTACTCAACAACCCTTTTCACATATTATCGAACTAGATTACATCAAATGATTAAAGTTGATGACATATATAATTGAAAAATGGTAAAATTCATGAAACGTGTTATTAAAATTAATTATTAATTAAATTTTTAATCCTATCAAATAAAGGGTGGGGAATTGAGACAAATCATTTTTGTCATTTTCGATGAGAAAAAGACTGTAAAAATTAAAACGACAGCTTGAAAGTTGCCAAGTTGAACAGTGCAGCCAAATTGTCGGCAGCCTATAGAAACTAGGCACAATGCAGTAATTTTAACAGTTTTTCAGGGTAATAATGTCATTTCAGAGTCAGTCACTTGTCCCAGTGTGAAATTACTGACTCCCTAGTCCCTACACTAGGTAGGTAAACTTCGTTTTATTTATTTATTTTTTCTTCATTTTTTATTATTAGAATTAGAGAAAATTGCATTTGTGATCTCCAACATACTGTTATTTAACAAAAATTCTGTTTGTACATCCTAATTTTACCACTTGATATACAGAATGCAAAGTGGCAAGATTTTATAGGCTGCTTTAACTTATTTTTGGTTTGCCGTGATTCTTGCCATCCCTGCATTCTGTAAATCAAGTGATAAACCTGGACGTAAAAGTATCATTTTTTATTATTTAGATAGCATATTGTTTGAACTTTTATTTATATTTGCATAATTAGTTCTTAAAAACAAGGATCGTCTAAATCGATGAAAAGTAATGTCATTTTCAAGTGTACGGTTCTATAAAAATAAATTTTATTTGGAAATTTGTATTTGTGCTCATGATTTGAAATTAGGTGTGTATCCATGAGAGTCACTTCCGATTTTACCAGAACACCGATATCATTTTTAACAGCCATGATAAGCCAACAATCTAAGCAGTAATACCTATCTTGAGAATCCTTAGCATCAAAAATTGTGTTATAGACTAAACGATCCGTCAGAAAGATTTGCAATCCTAAAAGTTAGACTCTGTATTTGTATGCCTCAAATCTGACTATTTTTTATGGGCTAAAATACCTGAAATGCACTTCTTTATTTTTGGTTGAGCAACTCTCATTAAAAGTTAAAAATCAATTCAAAATTCTCCACCATACCAAGTCAACATCTCATGAGCAAGTACGTGTATATAGTTAATGAAGTTCGAACTTATATAATAAGCTTCGACCTTTTCTTACTCGTTGAGAAGTTATTGGAGGACAAAATTTGATGGGATTTCAATGTAACATTCTATTAGTTGGGGGAACCTACACTATAATAACTAATCTTTAGGTTCAATGATTATTTTATTGAATTATGAATTCTTACCCATAATTAGTCTCAATTCTTGAATCTTGATCATTTACTACATTTAGTTCGATAGTCTTGATAAAGTTGAATAGACTTGAAAGAAAAAGACATATGCAATAATTTTGAGGGCTCGACTCAAGTCTTGTTTTCGTTTTTCTTTTACAAAAAAAATGGTTAATTGAAAATTGTCGTTATGCGGACATGATTTCAAGAACAAAAATATAAGTGGTATAAAAGTATAATGATTTAATTAAAAAAACACGTGAGAATAATACGTTAGCTATATGTCTATAAATTATAAGCAAGATATTAAATTAAACAAATACGAGGTCAATTGATTTTTTGTTTTGAATGAGCGATGCCGAAAGAAATTGTGTTATGACTTTCTATTTAAAAAAAAAGTTCCACAATTCAAAAGTGACTGCAAGAACGTGTACATATAATACTATATTAACCAAGAATTAACCAAATATTTGTTACATTGGCAAATAAATAATGAGAATGGGAGTTTTGTGGGCAAACCCATAATCCATAATGGCACTTTGATTTGAATCGAATATATATAATTTCTTGTCTATTTGTTAATGGCATCCCATACCTTATCACATGGGCTGGAAACCATAACTAAAATCTAAAATGATTGAATGATACTTCAACTATGTTAGGGCCCCGCTCACATGCAAAGGCTCATTAGTCATCACCTTTCATCTTTCCAATGTCACATTCCAACTAGCCCACGTCCTCCATAAGATAATATCGACATGCTTGATAATAGTGGATTCCAGGGTACTGAAGAGTACTAATTAAAAAATAAAAATTTATTCATCGAATTATTTGATAATATCTAATATTGCATACTAACCAAAAACCAAACTTCAATTTCTTGTTTCCAAGAAAGATTCTGTACTGTATAAGCCAGAGAATCTTGAGTCTCTTTCTTTTTCTTGCTGCAGGGTTACTTTTCATTTGACAGCTTCATCTTTGGGAAAATTGCAGCTAAAGTCTCAAACTTATGAAACATTAGCAAACTTTTCTTAAATCTTTAATTTGTTACAGCCGTCAATCCTAACATTTCTAAATGTTGCAGGTAAAGCCCTTTTGGACGATTTCCATTCACAATTTCATTAGTTGACCAAAAATTTAATTTTGACCACATTTTTAATATTTTAAAAATGGGTAAATGAGCAAATTTTCATTTATCATATTAAAGAAGAATTAAATATAAAAAAAAAACAAAAAAAACACAACCCTCTCTTGCTCTCTTCTTCTTCCTCCCACCCCACGCCACCCTCCCACCTCAAATCCCAAATTCCACACCAACCACCGCCATCGCCACCTCCACCTCCACCTCCACCTCCACGAAATCTCAATTCTTGGTGGTAGCAAAAAGCAACGACTTCCCGGTGAGCTGATCAAGATCAGACTTGCTAAGGTGGAAACTGGGAGCGAGTATTTGTTGGTTTCCTCAAGGAACTGGGTTTTCTCTGGCGGAATGTACGGCACTACCGCCGTTTGTAACGAGAAACTCTTGAGCTTAATTTTGCAAAAACATGGAAAGAACAAAGGATGCACCACCGACCTCGCCGACTTGGACACCACCGAAATTTTCAACGCCAAATTCCCAACAATTAACCGTACAAAAGGACACGGATCCATTTCCTTTTCCCCCCAAAATGAAATATATAAACAGAATCCCTAAAAGCCTAGTCGAGAAAACAACGTATTTGACTTAACAGGAAATAGACTTTCTTTTAGATGATTTGCTTCATTGCTTGGTTTAATTAAGGAAGGCATAGGGTAGTGAGACACAACTTAAAATACGTTGGGGGGTAAAGAAGAAATGGAAGACGAAGAAGAAGAAGAAGAGCCATAGGGATGTGTGCGAACATGGTGCGCAGTACCCCCTATGACTCCTTGGCTCCACTCAACAACACACTCGTTGCAAATTTTTTTGAATGCTGAGGGGAAAAAAAAAGGGAAAAAAAGAACTCATCTTATTATCTGGATTCTGGTGAATGGGACCCCTATCATTTTAGGTTTCGTTCAATGAAAAATTTCTCTTGGAGGTGGCTGTGGCGGTGGTTGGTGTGGAATTTGGGATTTGAGGTGGGGGTGGAGTGGAGTGGGAGGAAGAAGAAGAGAGCCAGAGAGGGTTGTTTTTTTTATTTTTTTTAATTTAATTCTTATTTAATATGATAAATGAAAATTTACTATTTTATCCCTTTTTAAAATATTAAAAATGTGGTCAAAGTTAAATTTTTGGTCAACTAACGAAATTGTGGGTGGAAACCGTCCAAAAGGACTTTACCTGCAATGTTTGGAAAGGTTAGGGCAGCAGCGAATCTAAGATCCAAGTCCAGCCAGGGCGGGTTGATTGTTGACTGACGACCGTTGACCGTCAACGATCGTAATAGTACGATATTACGATCAATTACAATTGATTAAAAAAAAAAATCAAGTACACACGGGTTGAATTGAGCAGCCAACATCTTGTCAATTAAATTTTTTTCACTTTGACTAATTTCCTAAACGTAAATTCTCAAATCAATAATCATAACTCACAAAATATAAATTACTTATCATAAATCACAATTCACAACATAATTTCGTAAACATAAATTTCCAAATCAATAATCATTCCTCATCAAAACATAACTTACTTATCATAAATCAGGAATGCAAATATAATTTCGTAAACATAAATTCCCAAATCAATAATCATAACTCTTAAATTTATGAATTACTTATCATAATTCATAAATCACAATTTGCAATTTTTTAATTCCCAAATGAATAAATCACAACATATTTAACATCAACTGATCAATTTAACTCATTGACATGAGGAAGGAATCCTTTGGCACTAATATTGAATCCAAGTCTCCAACCAATGAACCAGAGAACTTGCTCACCAAGTGGACAAAGAATTCTGCGATTCTGCTCCAATTTCACGCCAAATTGATACCCTTAAACTGTTAAACGAATATAATAATTAACAGAAGTAAATTATGAAGATAACTCAAATTGCAGTAATATTATTTTTAATTAAATTCTGTACTTTTAAATTTTAATCCACCCTATTTATTAATAATACAATATTTTATGGCTTTTGGATAATTAATTAGTACATCAACAGACAACACAACAATATATCCATCTTTACTCCAAAACTCAAAAGGATGAAAGATTTTCATAATGAAGTCAAAAGTCATGTTAGAAAAACAATTAGAAATCAAGGACGAACCGACGACGGCGAAGGAAGAAGTGTCTCACACTGCAGCCTGCAGGGCAGGGGCGAAATCGACGGTCTCCGACAACGTCGTGTCTCGTCGCTCGTGTGCAGCGTCGTGCAGGCAGTGAAGGAAGAATTGAAGAAATTGGAAAAGGGTTTTCTTCTAACCTTCCACCGTTCCACGATTTGGGAAAAATGGGAGTTATTTGGGCATTTGATTCAATTTTATTGGGTATTTGGACTTTGAAAAATTGGGTTATTTTCATTTAACAATTGGGCTAACTATAAGAGGCCCAACATTTGAACCCTGCCCAAACCAAAAAGTAAAAAATAAAAAAATTGGCCCTCTTCTCTTTGTCTTCTTCCTTTTCCAGCCATAGTTGGACCGGGCGCATCTGCAATTGGCGCTATTCAACGGATCTGAAGTTTTCGATGGAGCCAGCACGCGTAGCCGCGCCCCCTCGCCAGGCGCTGGCTCCGCGCCTGGTTAGGGGTGACTGCAACAAATCAAATGTTTGGCGAAAGTCTGCTAAATGTTTCATAAGTTTGGAGGTTCTGTTGCAATTTTCCCTTCATCTTATTACAGCAAACGTGATTCATAAGCTTATCCACAGGTGAAGTTGAAAAGAAGTGCATTACCAGCAGTTCAAGTCACATTAATTATACTAAAATGAGAGAGTCAGTGCAAAAATTGTCTATTGTAATGTCCAATCCCATGAATCGAATTTGGCTCAAAAATTTGATCTTGTGGCGTGTCCTGAGAATATAACTCAATTCTTAATATAAACTTTGGATCAATGTTTCTTGAGAATACAAAAGTCCCATACCAGGTAAAAAGAAAAAATTAGTTTGATAACATTAATCATCAAGAAATAAATAATTGTCGACATTTCAGCATTATATTCTTCCGAGTCAACACGAATCGACTTACCATAAAAAATGCAAAGGTTAAAATAAACGACCTCTTCAATAGGATTTTCAAAACTTGAACAAACAGCAAAGGTTGAAAATCTTGTGCAATGAAATTTTGGGACACACCCGATCTGCTATAGTGGGTGCCTCAGCCCAGCTGTGAAGATGGAACTCCCATAGAGCATGACCAAATATTATATTTCTCCTCTCTATCAATTGCGACCGCCCCGAGCAAGACGCAGCAGTTGCCATCTTATGCATCCGTGGCAGCATATTTTAGATGTTCCTTTGATAGAACTTCAACCTTCCAATTTCCTAGTCGAATTTTGTTTGGCTTGGGAAGCTACGAGCGATTTAATTACATCAGATTCCATATGTATAATGGTTGTTCATATGAAAACCACATGCGCTAGCAAAACGTCAGGAACCACAGAACACACTTTTTAAAACAATATGGAGTATCTTATGGACCAGGTAATTTAAGTACCAACAGATATATCGTTGCTTACTATTTTTATGTTTCTCCCTACAAGAAATCTCAATTTCTTCCAATGCCATTAGCTTGAGTAACAAGTACTTCAAATGAAGCCTTGTAATAAAAACATAATAGAAAACAGATGAAACAAGTAGACGTAACACTTTCAACCCACAAAATTCTCAAATAATCCATGACGCACCTGAGAGTCATGCCAGGTGTCATGATCAACCTTGCTGTAGTGCCTCATGATTCATCCCCAGTCGTAGGACATATCCATTATGCTACCAAGCACACTGCCCAACTAGCTATGTAAACCAGGAGAACTGGCGTGTAGACCAACCAGCATGCACCTCTCCAGCATCAGAGAGCCAGATGCATCATGCAGTCAGTATGCTCCAGCAGCTTGTTAAGCCGCGACATCTGGATTAAACTTCTCCGCTTTGACATAAAAGGACAATATATCTCCACAGTGTTTGTTCTAAGTAGGTCAAAGGTTACAAAATCTTTGAAAATTTGCATTAACATTCATTCTATTACAAAAAGTTTTATGCATGTAACAGTGGTAGAGTCTACCCAGTTGTGCGTGTAATGCTTCCATTCATATATTACATGCTTTGATTGATGAAATGAGATTGTTTGAGCTTCAAATAGTGTCCCAAAATTGTTTATTTATTTCCATCATTTGCATAGCTGCCATTGAACAACATTGTGATGCAACAGCAAGCTTCTTGCCGCAAGGTGTGCCTTTCCCCAGCCACAAAAATGCTCTCGTGACATGAAGAATGGCATTCACTGATATATAACTTTTCTTAAAAATGTAAATAGAAACATGGAAAACCAAAATTAGAAAAGGCGAACTATAAATGGTTAAATAGCGATGGAAGTCCTTTATGCATGGTTCCAAGAACATATGCTTTCCAAGCTACATTTGCCAATGTTTTTTCAATGAGATTACCAAAGTTACAATCCAAATGATGAGTATCACCATGTAATAACTTCGAAACGGACAAACAAAAACAAGAGATGAAACCAGAAAATAAAAGGAATTATAGGACTGGAATTCTATTCAAGACAGCAGAGGTACAGGATGGTGAAAAGAATACACAAACATGCTACAGACAGGATTAAAAGTTACTGGACTGAAAATAGTCGTCCATATTTTGTGGAATGAGAATGAAAATTTATGGAAATGTATAATTGAAATGCAATCAATAGTTGAGTAGTTCCCTCAAAACTTGGAAAGCAAAATCAGTCATTAAGGTAATCAACATGGTCAATTGAAATGAGCAGAAAAGAAATATCATTTTTGTCTTCTTTTTTTCCATCAAATAACTGAAGAAAATGAAGATAATATGAGCATGCAACTAAGGGTCTGACATTTAAATGGAGATCTGTGCATAGAGGAAATGTATTAAAACTTAACAGAAGATGATAAAAAGAATATTCTCCTTATATATTGTTTAAACAAGAAAATAAATTCTCAAATGAACTTCAAGTTGCAAGTGACAGCATATTGTTTCTGAACTTCATACTCCTTCACATTGTAAATGTACCTTTTTTCATGGTTGGTTTGCCAGAATTTTTCACCAACTTGAGATGGCAAAGTATTATTTTTCCATATCTATCCCTTCCCATCAAAATACCCCAAGTGATACATTCGCCGTCCATCTTTTCAACTAAATGCATTCTGATCTACGCAATGTGTATTAACATTTCCAGATACTTTTTGGTAGGATCTACTTGGGACTTGCATTACAAATAAAGCGAGCTTTATTCATTGATTGAGTCTAAGATACCGTTTCTAAAAGTGGTTATCCAATCAATACCTAGCCCAATTGGAAATATGTCTTCGCAAGGAGAGAAATGGAGAAAAAACAAAGGATCAAAAACCAGGAAGATGAGTATAAAAATTGAAGGCCCGAACACATAATCGTTGTCCTGAAACAATATTTGCCTCTTCTCGATTGATTTAGACGCTTAAAAGAATTTTTGGCAAATGGTTTGCATGATTAATCAAGCCTTGAAAGGAATAAACACTTAAGCACTAAATGTAATTCCTTCAAAACTAAAGAACACAAAATTTTGAATATGATAGAAGGAAGATTGTAATTCTTTTGTAGAATAGGAAATTGATCAAAATTGTATTCAAGTGAATTTTTTTTTTTTTTTTTTTTTTTTTTTTTTTTTTTTTTTTTTTTTATGTGATTCACATTGATCATCCATCAACTATATATAGGCTTCAACAACACTCCATGAAGTGGCACCAAAACAAGATGAGAAGCCATCAAAATTCAAATAACGACGACCATTAACAGTTAGTTATTAACACTATCCAGTCCCATAGGCCAAACCTATGCAACCACATAGTTAGTTTCATGGCAGGGCCTTTAGGCCCTGCATATGATCATGCGACCGCGGCCGTAATGGCCTATGCGGTGGCATAGTTATCAGTTTTGGCCTTATTTCTAAAGGCCCTGCATATGATCATGCGACCGCGGCCATAATGGCCTATGCGGTGGCATAGTTATCAGTTTTGGCCTTATTTCCACTTCTTCATTCGATACTTGTTTTATTCATTTTTGAACAACATATAACAGATGCACTCGCCCCCTTTACTTTTCTTAGCTTCCATGAAATGTAGAAGCTCATCTGCAGCCTTTTCTACCTCTTCAACAGTTCTGCTCTATACTACCTGACCTCCAAATTTCATTCCTGTGCACCAAAAATAAAAATAAAGATTGGGGCAAAAATCCTTGTATAAAATGTACGGTAGCTTATAGTTGAAAAAAGGAAAGTTATACGAAACTCCATGCTTCTGAATAACAGTAAAAACAACTAATTTTTCAACAAGAAAAAAAAATATATTTGAAGAAATCGTTTCTTTTCAGTATTTTTAATGAACATTAAGTTAATTGCATAACTTAGTTCCAACGGATCAGATTCAACTCCAGCTTCTTCCACAGATCATCGCAGCTGTCTCAGTTGTCCACAGCTGTGTTAGTTAGTTTAGTTAGTTAGTGGTTATGATAGTTAGGTTAGTTGGTCTCTTACTCTATAAATACATCACTGCGTGTTCATTGTAGTTCATTGGAGAATTTCTTCTTCCAATCCCTCCCTTCCATGGAGGTTATCTTCCTCCTACAATGGAGTGTCTTTTATATGGAACTCATTCCGGTTCCTTTGTATTTCTTTCCTCCTTTTATGGAGTTCAATTCAATATTGTTTCTTGCTTCAATGATGAAGCCTTTCATATTGTTTTCATTCAAGAATTTAATATGATATCAGAGCATTTTCTCATGGCTTCTAGCTGTGCTGCTGCTATTTCAGTTCTGAAATGGAGCTGACCTCAAGGATAGTGAAATCTGAAGATAACTTTGGCTTTAGATAGTGAAATCCTCTCCTGTTCAGAATCATATACATTCTGCGCTATGAATCCAGAATGCTGCTCACGATTTGGAAGTCTCTCGTTTGAAGATTTCATTTCAGATTGCCAGATCATTATAGACGTGAAAAGTTCTTGACAGTTCTATTTCCATTTACTTACAAATTACAGTCAGTCTGGCAATGCTTCTCAAAGTTCTCTATTAAAAATTATTGGTGGAAGTCATGCATTGGGTTCTGTTCTCGTGGCAGCCAATTATTATGGCAGAGATAAGAACACACAGGAATTACTAGAGCACATTAACACGCAGGAATGTTTTTTTTCTCTCCAATACATTCAATACTTTCTTTAATCTTCAAGATGGACTATTGTTGATCTTCCAAGTCCATCTTGAGGGGGGTGTATCAGAATATTCTAGCTTACACCAGAGTCTTCCAACTCCAA